TTCTGATTGGATAAGTCAGATATAGAAATATTCAATTCATGAGGTAGTCTGAATATTGGTCATCACAAAGTGTAGAGGTGTAATACCACCAAATCATAGTACGTCACATCCGGTTGCATACGAAAAATGGTCGAAAAAAAATATTCCCTTGAATTTGACAGTTGTAGGAAATTAATTCTACATTTCATTGCATTAAAAATTTCTGAGTCATAAACATATATCTTGGGTATTTGAAAGCACCATTCTTTTTTTATTTGGTGTTTCTATAAAATAATTTGGAAACTTGAGGTTACATGGTTACTAAAGCTTGTAAACATGAAACTAGAGGCTCTCAAGAGCCTGTGTCGCTCACCTGACTCAACTTTGGTTTTAGAAATCATGTAAAGATAGATAAAATTCATAACAGATACCAAAGTAATGATTGAGGCCAAATTTGGTTTACTATTGGTCCCGTTATTTAATCAAATATCCTGGTGGCCATCTTGCACAGTAAATCAGCAACAAATTAGCAACACTTGGTCAACACCTCATAAGGAACATTCATGCCATGTTTGGTTTCATTCCATTCAGTGGTACTCTAAAAGAAGACATTTGTATGTATTTCCCATAGGGTCCTATGTTAAACTAAGTCCCCCCCTTGGCGGCCATCTCGGATGATGGACTGACTGCAAAGTAACAACACTTGGTCAGCACCTCATAAGGAACATGCATGCCATGTTTGGTTTCATTCAATTCAGTGGTTCTCTAAAAGAAGACATTTGTATGTATTTCCCATAAGGTCTTATGTTAAACTAAGTCCCCCTCTAGCGGCCATCTTGGATGATGGATCAGCTGCAAAGAAACAACACTTGGTCAACACCTCATAAGGAACATTCATGTCATGTTTGGTTCCATTCCATTCAGTGGTTCTCTAAAAGAAGACATTTGTATGTATTTCCCATAGGGTCCTATGTTAAACTAAGTTCCCCGCTGGCGGCCATCTTGGATGATGAATTGACAGCAAAGTAACAACACTTGGTCAACACCTCATAAGGAACATTCATGCCATGTTTGGTTCCATTCCATTCAGTGGTTCTCTAAAAGAAGACATTTGTATGTATTTCCCATAGGGTCCTATGTTAAACTAAGTCCCCTGCTGGCGGCCATCTTGGATGATGGACCAACTGCAAAGTATAACAACATTTGGTCACCACCTCATAAGGAACATTCATGCCATGTTTGGTTTCATTCCATTCAGTGGTTCTCTAAAAGAAGACATTTGTATGTATTTCCCATAGGGTCCTATGTTAAACTAAGTCCCTCGCTGGTGGCCATCTTGGATGATGGACCGACTGCAAAGTAAACAACACTTGGTCATCACCTCATAAGGAACATTTATGCCATGTTTGGTTTCATTCCATTCAGTGGTTCTCTAAAAGAAGACATTTGTATGTATTTCCCATAGGGTCCTATGTTAAACTAAGTCACCCAATGGCGGCCATCTTGGATGATGGACCGACTGCAAAGTAACAACACTTGGTCAGCACCTCATAAGGAACAATCATGCCATGTTTGGTTTCATTCTATTCACTGGTTCTCTAAAAGAAGACATTTGTATGTATTTCTCATAGGGTCCTATGTTAAACTAAGTCCCACGCTGGCGGCCATCTTGGATGATGGATCAGCTACAAAGTAACAATACTTGGTCAGCACCTCACAAGGAACATTCATGCCATGTTTGGTTTCATTCTATTCAGTGGTTCTCTAAAAGAAGACATTTGTATGTATTTCCCATAAGGTCTTATGTTAAACTAAGTCCCCCTCTAGCGGCCATCTTGGATGATGGATCGGCTGCAAAGAAACAACACTTGGTCAACACCTCATAAGGAACATTCATGTCATGTTTGGTTCCATTCCATTCAGTGGTTCTCTAAAAGAAGACATTTGTATGTATTTCCCATAGGGTCCTATGTTAAACTAAGTCACCCACTGGCGGCCATCTTGGATGATGTATCGGCTGCAAAGTAACAACACTTGGTCAGCACCTCATAAGGAACATTCATGCCATGTTTGGTTTCATTCCATTCACTGGTTCTCTAAAAGAAGACATTTGTATGTATTTCCCATAGGGTCCTATGTTAAACTAAGTCCCCCGCTGTCAGCCATCTTGGATGATGGACCGACTGCAAAGTAACAACACTTTGTCAGCATCTCATAAGGAACATTCATGCCATGTTTGGTTTCATTCCATTCACTGGTTCTCTAAAAGAAGACATTTGTATGTATTTCCCATAGGGTCCTATGTTAAACTAAGTCCCCCGCTGGAGGCCATCTTGGATGATGGATCGGCTACAAAGTAACAACACTTGGTCAGCACCTCACAAGGAACATTCATGCCATGTTTGGTTTCATTCCATTCAGTGGTTCTCTAGAAGAAGTTCAAAATGTAAAAAGTTAACGACGACGACGGACGACGGACGCCAAGTGATGAGAAAAGCTCACTTGGCCCTTTGGGCCAGGTGAGCTAAAAAGGGTGAAAATTTGATTGGTTAACTTCAAGTGATGGTTATTATCTTATATGCAATGACATGTTATGTGAAATTTTGTCTGTAGTACTGGACAGGATAAAACTTTACTCATGCCAAGTATTTTTTTATTTGAAACAAAGATAAATTCTGCACAATTTTTTTAAAAGTGCAAATTTAACAAAGACTTAATTGGGGAAGAACAATGGTGGTATTACACCTAGATCAGTCTACTCCATCGTTCAAATTAGTTATGACGAGATTATGTGATCAATATAAACAAACCTGGTGTAATGTTATACACACCTCACTTAATGTTTGAAATATAGAAATTTTAAACCCAAAATGGTATTGAAAAATATTACCAGTTGACTTGTGGATAGCATTTTGTCATTTTAGATGTTTGAATCATAAACTTCCAATTGAAAGGGGATGATTTTGGGGAGTGGCACGAGATGACAGGATATGTGACCTGTGTAATTTAGAACAAATTGGGGATGGATTTCATTACATTTTTTTATGTGAATTTTTTTCATCTGAGAGGAAAACAAGAGGCTGTCAGAGTGACAGCAAACCGGATTTTCCTGCAGAGGTCGAACCCTGAACAGTTGAGCAAGTACGGATACAACATTTCAGCTTAATACAGCTCTGAATTTGGATTGTGATTGAATATTTGACACATTATAGGTTTGTGACACAAAATGAATGTGGTCAAAGAACTGAAAAATTTGAAATCGGAAATTTACATATTATGGTCCAATATCCAAAATCTAATAACATTGTTATCATTAGCATATCAAAGAACCCCAAGAATTCAATTTTTGAATTGTTGATGAAATCAAACAAAAGATTAATTTAGGACCCTTTGGACCTCAATGGGGTATTATCTAATTAATAATGAAAATAAATACAGGTTTAGATTCCACTTTTCAAAGAACCCTATATATATCTTCAATTTATGTTGAAATCAAACACAGTATAATTTTGGACCCCGATTTGGACCAACTTGAAAATTGGGCCCAAAATCTAAATATATGTTTATTAAAAGACAAACTAAGCTTAGTTTTTAAAGGAGTTTGCTTCATCAAAAAAAATATATATATATAGCATTCAGAAAATAAGTTTATACAGAATAACAAACAAACCAACCACAAAATTCTTCAAACAATTTACAAAAGAAAAGATGAAAAAAAATCCAAAATGTCATTTATCATTAATAATATATCTATTAAAAATCTATAAAACTTATCTGTAATTATTTTCAAAATGTAAAATAATGAACAGTAAATTTCAAACTTTATTTATACTGTCCTACTTATCATCAACACTTAGGAAACAAATAAATCTGTCACTCCAATTATAATTGTGTGATAAGAAATATACCAGATGTTTTGCTATCAATTAACAGGTGAACATTATTTAAAAACACTTAGTGTAATCAAACTTTATATATTTAATTAATAGTTCCCAATATTTTTTCATTCATTTGTCACAAACTTAATATAGATCTACAACTTATCTATCAATGTCAACAATTTTATCTACACAATGTAACGTAATGAAATATATCCTTTAATAAAAATAGATTATTATCTAATGAAAATGATATTTGCAAATCACAATTTCTGTTCAAAGGGAAATAACTCAATCATATAATAAGTATATATTTTTGGACTTCTAAAAAGTTGAAAACTCAAAAACGAGAGAAGCTAAAATCGTGAAAATTGAACTTGACCTTCATTTAGTCACAGGAAACAACATATCAAAATTTGAAAAAAATTCGTCAAAGTGTTTGCATGTTAATGAACAGCCACTGTTTGGCAGCCACCCTCCCGCCCTCCTACATCCCCAAATCAATAACCGATTTTTCCTTTCGAAAATCCGGTTAAAAATTGTATCTCCCTAATATATGCAGAGCATATTTTTACTTAAACGAGCAACATGAATGTTGCAAGGTGTACCATTCTGGAGCATCTGAGATCACCTTGTATTTTGGTTGGGTTCGTGTTGCTCAGTTTTTAGTTTTCTATGATGTGTTTTGTATACTATTGTTTGTCTTTTGGTCGTTTTTAATTTTTTGCCATGGCATTGTCAGTTTGCTTTCGACTAATGAGTTTGAATATCCCTTTGGCATCTTCCGCCTTTCTTTTACACATCTATGGTTTGAGTATACGTATATACCTTTAATTCAGAGTTTTTCCCATCTTAAAATCTGGAGTATGTCAATAAACCCAGATTGTCTGGCTAAAAAATAGAGGTGTCTTTATAAGACAAACTTAGAAATTTAGGTTTTTGTATTGTTATTCATAAACATATTTAATTTTCCAATAACCATACCAAATAAGAATGAATCATCTGAACAATTTTGATGGGTTTTATGTTGCATAACCTTTATTTTGCTGTGAATTGTTTTGTGGACTGTTATTTGTCTGTAGTCTGTTTTTTGCCATTGTATTGTCTGTTTTTCTTTGAATATGTCTTTTTTTAAATAAATACCTGATCTAAGAAGGACTTCAGGTGCAATATAGTTTGGTGTTCCAACTAAAGAGTGTGCTAAACATCTATGTCTTTCTCTATGTTTTCTACGTTGTAATGGTTTCTGAATTTCTCCACAATTACATTTAACATCAAGGGTACAATTCACATCCATTGAATCCTGTCTGGTATGTAATTCATCTGCAAAAAAATCATATATTGAATCAGTACCAGTAGTTAAAATTCTGAAGACAGGGTTGCACAAATGTCAATTAAAATTAAATAAAGTTTAAATTATAAGTATCAATTAAATCATGAACAGGTTCAAAAAATTTAATTTAAACATTTATGATTTAAACAGTGTTAAACTTTAAATAATGTTTGGAAGCAGTTGTAGACAGTTTAAACTTGAGGCTCTAAAGAGCCTGTGTCGCTCACCTAGGTCTATGTACATATTCAACAAAGGACACTCTCCAACATTGAAGACGAGAATAGAATACATGTCAAAAATCTTTTTTTTGTTGATCTTGTGTTGCTGATCATTTTGTCCTTTTAGTTTCTCTCCATCTTCTTTCATTTTTGCTCAAAACACAAAAGAGGGTATAATCCTCATTTAAGGGCAATCACTCCTATAAAGAGTGACAATCTACTAACTTAATCTTCAAAATTTGATTTGTTTGTACATCTTGCCTTGCTGATCAATCATTTTATTTAAGGTAGATTCATGGTATACCGCCATCTTGGATTGTATAATCCCAGTACAAAATCGGTCTAGTTATCTGCCCAAATCTGCAAATTTGGAGACAGATTTGCAATTTATTGGTTAGACTGTTTATTTATATAAAGAAAACTTGGTGATTTATTGTATAACTCAAAATATTTAAACTAATATCAAATTTTGTGTTTTTAGAATCAATTTTTTCAAATAAGCCATTTAAGGGGAGATAACTCTTTTAGTAAAAATTATATACTGGACTGATAGGGAAAATTTTAATTTTTACTTGTAGCAAGAAAACAAGTTCGGTGACACCATTTTTTCTTTTCATTTTCTTGAAACATATTATAAAACCTATCTTCTCACAATTTATTTCCAAATTCTATCTCATAGATTTTTTTTTAAGCACACAAATGTATTTTTTCATGAACATTCTAACCAAATTTAGGCAATTTTCAACGACTCATAGCTTGGAAAATAGCACGGTGACCCATACTTTTTATTATATTTTTAAAAAAAGCATAGTAAGATCTTCATTTTGGCAAAGTATAAGAAAATTCTATCTCAAGAAATATTTACTTATGATCTACCTTAAAGTTTCTATTTATCTATTATAATTATCATCATATAAGGGAAAACGCAAAAAACTTGGTAAAAATCATCATTTTAGGGCAATAACTCCGATAAGGAGTCGTCTATGAAAGGCCGTCAGGGTCATAATTAATTTTGTTACACATACGCTAGAGGTACGTGTAACAGGTCGTTCACGCACCCTAGAGGTACACATAACATTTTGTTCGCATATCCTAGAGGTACATGTAACACTTTGTTCACGTACCCTAGAGGTACATGCAACTGTTTGTTCACATATGGGGAATAACCTGCTATAAGAATTCGCTTGACAGTTTTGACATAAATGTACAATTGGTAGAGCTCAACATTCTAAACATTTTTGCCCTTGTCAGATTTTCTCCATTTATAACAGTTTTCAAAATAATAGACAAAACTTGTATTTCAATCCCATGTTCTATTTTTAGCCATGTCAGCCGTCTGAAATGGCAGGCGGGGTCATTGGACACATTTTTTAAACTACATACCCCAATGATGATTGTGGCCAAGTTTGGTTAAATTTGGTGTTTACATACATGACATATCTCAATTGATACGTTATGCTAGTGCATGTTCACACTATACTGACTTCATATACAGGAGTATGCTCCTTATGCAGAAACTGCTCCAACAGAGTTATGAGAAGGAAATATTAACAAGAGGCTCTCAAGAGCCTGAATCGCTCACCTGTAATTTTTTGCTTAAATCTTTCATCAATGATTATTTTTGCTTTGAATATATATTAATGAATGGCTTAAATCTTCCATTGAAATGTTCTTTGCATCTGTCATATTTTCTTCAAAATCAAAGAAATGCATTTTACCCCTATGTTTCATTTGAGCCACAGTGGCTATGTTTCTTGACATACAAGAACATAAAATACAAAATTTATACTAGATACTCTGAAACTCATTCAGCCCAAGTTTGGCTGAAATTGATTCAGCAGTTTCAAAGGAGAAGATTTTTTAAAGTAAGCAAACTAAATAAACAAATTGTGAAAAATTGATTTTAAAGAGCAATAACTCCTTAAGGGGACAACTGACAATTTTGGTAATACGAACTTATTTGTAGATCTTACTTTGCTGAACATTTTTGCTGTTTACTTTTTATCTTTATCATTAATTATATTCAAGATAAGAACCAAAGTCTGCAAAATTTCCTTAAAATTACCAATTAAGTGGCAGCAATCCAACAATGGGTTGTTAGATTCATCTGAAAATTTCAGGGCTGACAGAGCTTGGCCTAATAAACATTTTTACCTCTCATCAGCGGCCATGTTTTTTTACGAAACAGAAAATAAAACACACACTTTATTCTAGATACACTTAGAATGATTCAGCTTAAGTTTGGTTGGAATTGGTTCAGTAGTTTAAGAAAAGAAGATTTTTCAAAGTTAGAAAACATGATAAACATTTTGTGGAAAATTGTCCTTAAAGGGCAATAACTCCTTAAGGCGAAGTGTACGTAATTAACTACTCCACAGAATTTTTTTACATTTTACATATGGATTCTGCTTGTAAAAATACATCAGAAAATAAAATAAAAAAGGGGGGTAACCGTTTTCGTTTTTCAAATACAAGCTGTTGAAAATGACAGCATGATACGCCAAAAGTACAAAGGATATATAGAGAAAATCATAAAAATAGGCAGATATTTTTACTTTATCAAGATTTTCTATTTCGTTGGTCCACAGAATTTTAAAAAAAATCGATATACGATTCTAAAATGAACGACGAATCCATTGGTGCAAAGAAAGTCCTTAGCAACCGTGCTACTTTTCAAGCTATATCCTGTGGAAGTTTGATTTTTAGAGGAAAAAATAAAAAATATTCGGCGACGTTATTGATGTCTACTGTAACGTCACCACAACTTCTACTGCTACCGTACAGTGTCGTAACAAAATCGTGACTGTGTGTATAACCCATTTTACTAATTATTACAAATGCTCAAGCGTAATTAATTGATAAGGAAATAAACTGACTAAATTTTAAGGATATTTCTGCTGCCAAAAAAAAAATGCAAATTGGCAAATAAATATACTGCAAGTGAAAGAAAGTTACTGTATAGACTTTAACTCCATCTTTTCTAAATTAGACAGGGTTCCACATCTTTTTTGAAATGCTTGTATTGTTCTAATTTATATGAATCAAATATCGAGTTTGAAATTGTCCCGGTTAACACACTCAGCGTTGACAGAATGATTCTATACATATTTGAATAATCGGTTATAAGAAGGAGGTTATATGAGAAGGAGAGAGGACGAAATACGATAATTACTCATAAATTGTCACCGCCTTTTCTGTAAATGGGTGTTAATTAGTTGAGATCGACTTGGTCGCAGAGGGAGACTGTGTCCTTATTACACACCCGAGTAAGAACGGAAACCCCCGAAGTGTTATAAACCGACCGAGATTTTACAAAATAAGCCCGAGATCATGGCTCAATTCTCGACAGTATATACATAGCATTCCTTACGGAAAGTGATGGTTTGGCCAGGGTCACAGGCAATGAAAAAATACACATTGGATGTTTTCTGTTGACGTGTTTCAGTCATCATTTGATCATGGTCGACGATTTATTTATAAGCGATGCCCAAAACAAGGAATTGTATATTCAAATATACAATTCCTTGCCCAAATGTTGGAGCTCGAAAAAGAATTTGATCTAGAAATAATCTGCACCTACAAGACAAACGACTCAACCGACCTGAATTGCTTTGTGAATGATGTATATATAAGGAATTAAAATTTATAACAAAATAATTATTAATATGTGCAGAAAAAATGTCCGTAAATGAAGAATAGTCACGCTTTCCTGTCGTGGTATTTTTATTGAAAAATTGATGTATTTTCCATTTTTTAGAATAAATATTACAACCGTGCATGGCATGACAAGACTATTTATTAAGAAGAAATCTACACATACCATGTGTATTGTCCGGGGGGAATCACATTTAGAGAGGTACCAATCTAAATGACTGGCAATCCTAGTATTAATGTACAAAACGCATGTGTTCATTTTCTGATATTTTACTGTTTTATTAAGCAAATGAAGTACTGGTTTCAACAAAATCTTCATCAAACTCAGTGTATAACAAGGTATTGATTTGGCGTGGTCACATTGAGGAAATTTCCATATCATATTTCTTTATTTTTTAGGTTTTTTTTTCTTTTATTCCTTTGCTTTCAGTGAGAGCCAGTCAATTCAAAGGGAACCAACATTAAGATATTGAAAAATAAGATGAACCGATGCATAAATATTTAATTTTGCACAGAAACGATTTTAATGAGGAGAAAAAACTGCCATGTCCTGATGTCTACAGCATTCCACACGGAGATAGACTGTACTTAAACTTTTTGGTGGTTCTCTGATAAATTCCTCTATTTCAATAATAGCCCCAGTCACAACCGGAACTGTCACTTTGACAAATGTACCTCATATATTTCTTTCGAGGATATAGACTACCATTTCCCATTTCTAGAAGCCAACATGGGAGATAAAAATCTAAGCGCATATGCCTATATCTACAGCCTAACCTCATCAATATCGAACTTTTCGCTGGCTCTCGATAAATTTGTCTTCGTTTCAATAACAAATGTTCGATCCGGACGCAACCGGTCAACGTAACAAAAGTCCTCACGTACTCCTCTATTTTCTATGATATTATCTAACAATTGTCATACATACTAATCACACGGACTGATCGCAGTAGAAGCAGAGGGCCATATCAAGTAGGTGATAAACATGTCGGTTTCTTTATATTTTTATCATTTTCCTCTGATCGAATTGCTATCCTGGGGATGCTAATTTTATATCAAGCAGAGTGTTCACTCTCTTTCTCATATAACCTCCTTGGTTATAATATTGGGATCGCATATATAAACGTCTTTTTTTAATCTTATTTCTGCATGTTTGTATTTAAAAAAAGTAAATATAATTTTCTGCATCTTTTCATCCACGTACACGTGACACAAATCTGCAATTTTATTTAAGAAAATTCCTGTCTCAATCGCTTTCCCTTTTCTTTAACTACACGACAAAGCATGATATAATGTTTGCTGGAGTTTAAGTAACAAAGGAAATAATTTCTTGTACCATTACTTATTAAATATCCACATCCAAAAAATAAGAAAACTGCATCTGCATATTATCTTGAGAATTTTTATGGCTGTAATAAGGTCAAAAAGAAGAACACGCATATGAATTTCAGCAAAATAAAACAGATCGGAGTTTTTGATATAGCTTCCCGTATCACAGATCATTCCCAGTGTTATGCCTAAGCATTGTGTATATCGTAATGCTATAGCATTGTGTATAGTGTAATGCTAAAGCTTTGTGGTATGCTATAAATGTACTGGTGTAATGCTATAAATGTACTGATGTAATGCTATAAGAATGTACCAAGGGCGATGTTATGAGTATGTATCCATCCAGTATGAAAATTATTTTGATGCTAAATAAAATGTACCTAGTATTTTTATTAGAATGTACCTAGTGTAATGCAAGGAGACTGTTCCTAATGTAATGCTATAGGTGTAATACCGCCAAAATCATTGTACGTCACATCCGGTTGCATACGAAAATAGGTCGATAAAAATATTCCCTTATAATTGAATTTGACAGTTGTATGTAATTAATCCTACATTTCATTGCAGTAAAACATTTCTGGGTCATAAACATATATCTTGGGTATTTAAAAGCACCATTATTTTTTCATTTGGGGTTTCTATAGAATATTTTGGAAACTTGAGGTTACGTTACATGGTTACTAAAGCTTGTACACAGGTTAATAAAAGGGGAAAATTTGATTGGTTAACTTCCAGTGATGGTTATTTTCTTATATGCAATGAAATGTTATGTGAAATTTACATCTATAGTACTGGACAGGATAAAACTTTACTCATGCCAAATATTTCTTTATTTGAAACAAAGATAAATTTGCACAATTTTTTGAAAAGTGCAAATTAACCAAAGACTAATAGGGGAAAATCAATGGTGGTATTACACCTATACGAGTTTACCTAGTGTAGTGCCATACAAATTGTGCCTGTATATAATGCAAATGAATTGCTTTTTTGTTAATATTATATAACTAGAGGCTCTAAAGAGCCTGTGTCGCTCACCTTGGTCTATGCGCATATTAAACAAAGGACACAGATAGATTCATGACAAAATTGTGTTTTGGTGATGGTGATGTGCTTGTAGATCTTACTTTACTGAACATTCTTGCTGCTTACAATTATCCCTATCTAATAATGAACTTGGCCAAGTAGTTACAGTGGAAAATATTTTGTAAAAATTTACAAAAATTTACAAAATTTATGAAAATTGTAAAAAATTGACTATAAAGGGCAATAACTCATTAAGGGGTCAATTGATAATTTTGGCCATGTTGACTTATTTGTAGATCTTACTTTGCTGTACATTATTGCTGTTTACAGTTTATCTCTATCTATAATAATATTCAAGATAATAACCAAAAGCTGCAAAATTTTCTTAAAATTACCAATTCAGGGGACAAGAAATAGGTACTTCCGGTTTACAAAAGGTCATTTCAGGTTGATTTTTCAAGGTCATATGGCTTGCAACTTAATGCACAAAGTACCATAGCTTTATCAGGCATACATTAAAAGTTAAAGCAAAGGTCAAAACCTAGAACATCAAATCAAACTTTGACCTTGACCCCAACTTCAAGGTCATTAAACTAGGGCCTAAAATCAAAACACTCTAGGTCTCTTCAATATATTGTTAATGAGTTATATAACCATACAGCTAACATTAGATATAAAAGGGGCGAAAACTCCAATTAAATGTCTATGTACCCTTTCAACTAAAATTTACGTGTTACGACATGTCGCAACTAACAATTCTGTAAAAATTTTACAATTCTGTAATATTTTGTCGATATCTTATACAATCTCTGAAAATAAGTGATAACAAGCCAAAATCAACATTTAGAATATGACCTTGACCTTTGACCTTGACCTTATTTTCTTTTTTTTGGACCGAGGACCTCAAATCAAAAGACTTCAGGTCTCAAGTTATGGTTTTTCAGTTACAAATGCACATCACTTATATCAGATGCATAAGGGGAAATAACTCTCATATGGAGTCTCCGGATAGCTTCGGTCAAAATTAATCAAATCATCCTGAGGATATAACGAGCAATTTGGTAAAATAAATTAGTCGGTTTCTTATGCAGTTGCGACGTATAAGTAATAACAAGAAAAACAGTGTTCGGGGAGGTAACTCTTACATCGATAAGTTTTTGGTTACTCGGTGTCAGTTTCAAAAGCGTATTAACTGTTCGATATCATGAACCATATGTCTAAGCGACATCTTGCGAAACAAAAAAACAGCGAAGGAAATAAAAGTAGGCGGAAGAAAAAAAAAAAAAATAATAATAATAATAATCAGAACAAAATCAAAAGGTCTTTCCACGGAAAGGTGGAAAGACCTAATTATTCACAGTTTTGTAATTCATTTTCGCCATCCATAATGATTGCCTAAATGTTAACTTGGCATGCCATACTTGATAGAAATGCAGACGTGAAAGAAAGCACTTTGATAAAAGCGTCAATGAAGATATTACATTCCAGCCAATCCAGGGCGATGATTTCGTCATTTATAGACGAAATACGTGTTTCTGAATGGGTAATTTGTACTTAAATATAATGTTGACATCAATATTGATCTGGTGAGTAAAGAATTTTGATTTAAAATGTGAGTTTGTTTACAGTTCTACGGAAAATACATGCTTAACAAATCTTTGCAGTTACGCTACAAAAAACATGTTTATGCTTCAACATGATTAACTTCTGTGTCACAGTGTTCTAAATATTGAAATTTTGTAAAAAAAGGAACTGTTATTAAATAACATTCGTTTCATTTACATTCACAAAATTTCTCTGAAGTTTGTCACAGTTCCTTCTGATTTTGTGTCAGAACTCAACCGTGTCTGCTAATATGTCTCTTTAAATTCATACAATAATAAATACAGGAATATCCTGTGATCCTTTCTCATAGATGTTAAGTTTTCGTCATAAAGAAACTAACCAGTATAGATCATTATAGCACGAACAAAAGTTTGTCGTCGGATCCAGTGAATACCGGAAATCATCTCCGGTCCGTAGTTCCTTGATTCAATGAAAACTAAGACGATTTTTTTTCACTTTTTTTAATTTTTAACTATGAGCGTACCTACGGCCCACTTAGATATTTCAACTGCATCAACATTTATATTCAAGGAACATCTGGTACAAATATGATCGTGGGCCGTATGTACGCTCATAGTTTAAAATACAGAAAAAGGTTTGGAAACTGCCATTTTTATGCCCTTTTCTCAAATCTTGAGGTGTTTACAGCAACAAAGCATGAATAATATCAACGGAAGTTGACAAATCTATTGATGTTAACAAAAATACAGGTTTTAAACTTTAAAAATATATTATTATAATCCATAGTATGTCACTTTTAATTTGAACGAAAATTGGGGGCCGTTCTCTGGTGCTTATCGTACCTTGTCCTTTATCAATACTTTAATACTGCGAGTTTCTGTATTTACTCTGTTATAGATTCAAGGTTATATTAGCTTATTGGCCGCGAGACTCGAAGGGTTGAGGGCCAATACATATGATCATAAATCTATAAAAGGGCTGATACTGAAACAGCCAGCTCATAAGACTTTTATCATATGATACACATTCTTCAATTAAAAAACCAAGAAACTTACTGTTATATACATTGTAGGTACAGGAAATCACATTTCAGTCATTTGAACTTGCCTCTTCCCAGTCACAAAGAATTGTTTTGTCAATTATATTGTTGAGATTTCTGATTTCCAGTCCAGGTACTTAATCTATGCTAATGCTTTTCTATTTATCTAGCAAACATAAAGTACTTGGGAAGAATTTTCAGACATTATGTTTTTTGTCTATGGAAGGATAATAAATTGAAAATTCTACTCTGAAACATTGTGGAATGTTTCAGCAAATCATAACAAAAACGGATCATAATTAAATTTACTTGTCATAAAAAAATAGAATAAATTGCTTCACTGAGCGCAGCTGGATACGACCGCAGATGTCCAACCCTGAAAAGTTGGGGCCAAATTTTTTAAAATGGACACAATATTCACGCTTGATACAGGTCTGAATTTGGATTGTAACTAAATTTTTGATACATAATAGGTTTCTGACACAGCACAACTGTAGTCAAAGAACTTCAAATTGGTTATATGATTTGAATTTATATTCAAATTTTTGCTTTTGTGCAATACACTATGCTGTTGCGAATTGTCCCCCCACCCCCCCCCCCCCCCAAAAAAAAAATTTTACCCGTGTTTTTTGCTTTTGAGCAATACACTATGCTGTTAAATATTAACCCCCAAAAAAAACATTTGAAGAAATTTTTCTTTTAATTTCTGAAATCTGAAATGAGAAAAATTGCCCTCCCCTCCAATTCTTTTCACCTCCCCCCTTTCCCTTATTCCCCAAAAAAAAATCTTTCCCTCAAGATATGGTCAGTATCTCAATTCAAATTTCTAATGGAGTTTGCAACCATAATTACCCATTTAAATACATCATAAAAGTTTTAAAATATAAAATGACATACATAGTCATGGCTAAAATTAATATTAATTAATAGTAACTGCTAAAAATATATTGACAGCTAATCACCTCAAGACAATCATCATTTCTTAATTCATAATTTACAAGCAGTGTAAGGGAAGTAATCAAACAGTGTTCTTTTAATTGATTTGGATTACCTCCCTTACACTGCTTTTAAATTGTCTCATTTGTCCTTTAACCAGAAAAACCCTTGTTTTTCCCCTTTTTTTGCCCCTAGTTACTAGTTGGTTTGAACCATAACCCCCCAAAGTCAATCCTAACCATCCCTTTGTAGTATGGAAACTTGTGGTATAATTTCAGAGAGATTCATACACTTTAACACAAGTTATTGTCTGGAAACTACAAAAATGCTTATTTGGGCTCCTTTTTGGCCCCTAATTCCTAAACAGTTGGGACCATAACCCCCAAAATCATTCCCAACCTTCCTTTAGTGGTTATAAACCTTGTGTTCAAATTATATTGATTTCTATTTACATATACTAAAGTTATTATCCGGAAACCATCTGTCTTCGGACGAAGCAGACATCGACGCCGACACCGGACGACGACGACGTGATACCAATATACGACCAAAAAAATTTTAATTTTTGCGGTCGTATAAAAATGTGTCTTCCAATTTCTTTAAGATACGTCTATTCCCAGGTAAGATACATCCAACATAATTTGGAATCAAAAATTTGCCACCGGAAGTGAAAATCCTGTATTGCTTTTCGGCCTTTTTCCTGTATCAGACTTGGCCGAAAAGCAATATTTATTCATGATTTATGTCAACAGGGCAATGACAATATGCTGATTTATCCGTACTTGGACTGATTTGCTCAAAAATATATGATTTCTGTGAATGATATTAATATTATGATTACAGGATATCCCTGCTTCTATGAAGTGTGGAATTCCCACCATGAGGTCACTAGGTTGGATATATTTGGAATATTTTGTAATACTGATTTTTCCGGATTGTATAAGAAAAGTAAATAGTGAAAGGGAGAGCTTGAGATATAATACTTTCACGAGAAACGAAGGGAGATGTTTAACACAGTGTTTAAAGTCAATCTGTTCATTTGTTTATCTCCTCATCATATCAGTATGAAATTTTGAGGTGATTCGAACTATAAAATACAAAATGGTTGACATGAGCGGCTTGGAAAGTAGAACTTCTGGCCAACCCCATAGGGCATTGATGGCTTGAAGAAATCCTTTTACAAAAATAGTCATCATTTAGTGAACTGAAGACTTCAGCTATGTGACATATTTGTAGATCTTGTTTTGCTGATAATTTTTTCTGTTTGAAGTTTCTCTTTATTTACTATAGTTTTTGCTTAAACATGTTAAAACACAAATAAATTGCTTCGCTGAGCGCAGCTGGATACGACCGCAGATGTCCAACCCTGAAAAGTTGGGCCAAAATGGACACAATATTCACGCTTGATACAGGTCTGAATTTGGATTGTAACTAAATTTTTGACACAGAATAACTGTAGTCAAAAAACTTCAAATTGGTTATATGATTTGAATTTATATTCAATTTATTGCTTTTGTGCAATACACTATGCTGTTGCCAATTGATCCCCCCCCCCCCCCCCCCTTCCAAAAAAAATTTATTTTACCCCGGTTTTTTGCTTTTGTGCAATACACTATGCTGTTGAATATTAACCCCCCAAAAAAAATATTTGAAGAATTTTTTTGAATTTCTGAAATCTGAAATAAGAAAAATTGTCCCCCCCTCCTAATTTTTTCACCTCCCCACTTTCCCTTATTCCCCAAAAAAATTCTTTCCCTCAAGATATGTCAGTATCTCAATTCAAATTTCTAATGCAGTTTGCAACCAAAATTACCCATTTAAATACATCATAAAAGTTTTAAAATATAAAATGACATACATAGTCATGGCTAAAATTAATATTAATTAATAGTAACTGCTAAAAATAAATTGACAGCTAATCACCTCAAGACAATCATCATTTCTTAATACATAATTTACAAGCAGTGTAAGGTAGGAAATCAAACAGTGTTCTTTAATTGAATTGGATTACCTCTCTTACACTGCTTTTAAATTGTCTCAATTGTCCTTTAACCAGAAAAACCCTTGTTTTTCCCCTTTTTTTGCCCCTAATTACTAAATGGTTTGAGCCATAACCCCCCAAAGTCAATCCTAACCATCCCTTTGTTGTATGGAAGTTTGTGGTATAATTTCAGAGAGATTCATACACTTTAACACAAGTTATTGTCTGGAAACTACAAAAATGCTTATTTGGGCCCCTTTTTTGGCCCCTAATTCCTAAACAGTTGGGACCATAACCCCCAAAATCAATCCCAACCTTCCTTTAGTGGTTATAAACCTTGTGTTCAAATTTTTATTGATTTTTATTTACTTATACTAAAGTTATTATCCGGAAACCATCTGTCTTCGGACGACCCTGACGACGACGACGACAATCTGATACCAATATACGACCAAAAAATTTTTAATTTTTGCGGTCGTATAAAAATGGGTAAAAATCCTATTTTAAGAGCAATAACTCATATAAGGACTGACGATTTTGGCTTTGATGACTTAAACATAGATCTACATGTAGTCTTGCAAATTTATTTTTGCTATTGAAAATTTTTCTTGTTTTTGCTACTGAAAGTTTCTCTATATATCTACCATAGTTTTCAAGGTAATAAGCAAAATTGAAAAAAAGCCATTTAAGGGCAATAACTCCTTAAAGGAATTGACCAACAATATCTAAATTGTTGACCTCCTAGAAAAGAGGGACGAAAAATACCAGAGGGACAGTCAAACTCATAGATCGAAAACAAACTGACAACGCCATGGCCAAAAATAAAAAGACAAACAGACAAACAATAGTACAAACGACACAACATAGAAAACTAAAGACTAAGCAACACCAACCCCACCAAAAACTGGGGGTGATCTCAGGTGCTCCGGAAGGGTAAGCAGATCCTGCTCCACATGTGGCACCCGTCGTGTTGCTTATGTTATTACAAATCCGGTAGATAGTCTAATTCAGTAAGTCACATTCGTGAAAAGGGAAGGGTATTGTAGTTACGACATAAGGAACATATCCGATATCATCTGTAAAACGGTTATTCCATAACGGTCAACCAACTCGTGATGGCGTCTGTAAAATTTACGAAGGGATGATTTCAACTTCACCATTTGGAACTCTTGGCTTAATAGCTTCCTTGTGAGCAGCAATCCTCTATCAAGGAAATCATGATAGGAAACACAAGCCCGGGAATATCGTATCAATTGGGAGATATATAATCCGTATGCAGGCGCTGCTGGAATGTTGCTACATAGAAATGGAAAGTTTACAATTGGGAAGCTGAAATCATCTCTTTTGTCGTAAAGTTTTGTTTTCAACCGACCCTCATTGTCAATTTCTAGATGTAAGTCAAGATATGAGGCAGACTTAACTGTATCTGTAGTATCATTTATCTCTAGTTCGATGGGATAGATTCGTTCAACATAGTCACCAAATTTTGTATTATTTAGTGAAATTTAGAAGATGATCTTGGTGATAATTTTGCTATTTAAGGTGAAACTATACAGTAAACAGGCTATATCACAGATTTTTGTAAAATTTGGCATACAACTTAGACTTGTTGAATTAGAATAGTTGAACTCCTTCTGAAAATCGAAATAAATTGTTTCGCCAAGCGCAGCTGGATACGACCGCAGAGGTCCAACCCTGAAAAGTTGGGGCAAAAATGGACACAATATTCGCACTTGATACAGGTCTGAATTTGGATTGTAATTAAATATTTGACACATAAAAGGTTTCTGACACAGAATAACTGTAGTCAAAGAACTTAGAATTGGTTATATGATTTGAATTTATATTCAATTTTTTGCTTTTGTGCAATACACTATGCTGTTGCAAATTGAATTGTCTTAATTGCTCATTAACCATTACTTTATACATAATTTAAAAGCAGTGTAAGGGAGGTAATTCAAATGATGTATTTGAATTACCTCCTTACACTGCTTTAAATTATGTTTTGTACTAAAGTATTTGTCCATTTACCAGGACACCCTTGTTTTTCCCCCTTTTTTACCCCTAATTCCTAAATGGTTTGAGTCATAACCCCCCAAAGCAAATCCTTACCATCCCTTTGTGGTATAGAAACTTGTGGTATAATTTCAGAGAGATCCATACACTGTTCCACAAGTTATTGTCTGGAAACTAGAAAAATGCTTATTTTTGGCCCCTAATTCCTTAACTGTTGGTATCATAACCCCCAAAATCAATCCCAACCTTCCATTTGTGGTGTTGAACCTTATGATAAAATTTCATAGAGATCCATTCACTTAAACTAAAGTTATTGTGCGAAAACCAATGTGTCTTCAGACGACAACGATGACGCCAACGTCATACCAATATACGACCGCAAAATTTTTTGCGGTCGTATAAAAATAATGCATAAATCTCTTTTATTACCTGAAATATTACTGATTGAATTCTTTCAAATAAGGTGAACATTTGTTAAGAAAGCACATAAAATCTACAAAAAATGCTCCTAAATTTGTATTAATCTCCAATTTCAAATCCATACATTTTTTCTTCAAAAACTATATGTTGTACATGTTGATACATGTATATAAATTTCTGTTTTAATGATGCAGAAAAATAAAAGGGTTACTGACTTCGTTTTTATGGTATACATCATTCAAAGTGATGTTGTAGGTGAAAAAATACCACAAAACGTCAAAATAAGCCTTTTTCTTCCAACATTTTTTTTACATGCCCTCCCCCCGTTTCTATTGGAGTTATAAAGACCAAATATGAACCATCGATAGATCTCATCATGAAGTATTACCAGATGATGCTGTGTAGGATTTCCCCCTTTAGAAGTTATCGCCCTTTTATTGGGTTTTTTTCGACATGGCCCCCCTCGTTGTTTTTTAAGATTTCATGACCTTATTTAAGCAATAGGAAGAGCTCATCATGAGGTATTACCAGATGAGGCTGAGTAGGTTTTCATCATCCCATTTGAGTTATTTCACCTGGAAGCAATTTCTTTTATTGTATTTTTCTTAAAAAGTATTAGAGATAGAATCGAATTGAAAATGGCAGCATGTACAAGAACAGATGGCAATGTTAATAAACATAAACAATTAGTATGTTATCAACCCTTATAAGGAGTTATTTCCCTTGAAAAATTATACACAATTTTTTAAAAATTATATTTCGAGAACCAGAAGTCGTAGAGATTTGGGACCTTCATCACCAATAATCTTTAATTCATGTGACCTTTAATTTCCAGGAAAATAATTTATCAGTCAAATCAAATTGATTTAATTGGGGACCTAAAACATCCAGACAGCTTTATATGTTTTACTTTATGTTGATCTGTTACTTGGGGAAGATTAAGTAATTTAATTCTCATAACAAGTCATAATTTTGAAAAAAATGTACTGAAGTATCAGTTGTCGAAGACTCATTACGGAAGGATTAGTGGTTGATGAAGACAGTGCTGATGTATCCTGTAGATATGTAACTTGAGATACTAGTAGTTGTCAATCACATACATGACATAATTAACCAGTAAAGAGCTAATTTTAAAAAAAAGATGACTTTCCAATTAACGAATTGGTCAACAATGGTCATGGAAACAAAACAATCTGCTGATAATGCATCATTATCATGCATTGTACTTGCAATCAAATTATCAGTCAGCTGTTCCTTACATTTCATATTTCAAATTTCAAATAAATAAAGCAAGAAAGTGACAGTAAATTCCCACCCATCCATTGCAACCTACCAAATAGTACAACCAGGGTTTAAGCTAGGATTTTGATACTAGTAGTACTAAAGTAGTTATTGCATATGGTTTAATACATGAACAAAAACATGAGTATTTTCTTGTTCAGTATTTCATTATTATTGAACAAATAAAAATATAACAGTAAAGATTAAAACAAAACAGCTGTATTTCTTCAAAAGATACATATTATATATATGTTTTTGTTTTGATTTGTATGTCTCAAAACAGGGACTAATGTAATGAATATATTGGTCAATGTTCCTGTCCTTATACTTTGCTTATGGTCTGCATATGCTACAGAATAGAGAAAATGTTTTAACACATGTTTAATATTAAAAATAAAGAATAGAGAAAAATGGACAAAAAATATGGAGAATAGTGAATAATGGGTGTTTAAATACACCTGTGACTATTAAACTAACTATACTATACTAGTTAGTACAAAAAAAAATGTAGTATAATAGTCCAAGAATATACAGAATATAAGAGAAAATTTGTCTACAATTAAGAATACAGAAAACGATGACCAAGCCCCCCTACCCAGGGGTTCTAATTTGCTTTAAATAATGAAAGGTACGGGAACATTTGAAATTTTAAGTGAAGTGTCCTCCATAACAAATCAATGGTCGTGTATCAAGCATCAGTGTAAAGAAGGTAGGTCCTTGACTTTTCAAGTCAGGCCATAATCTTGCCGGCGAAATGACGATTTAAGTCGCCAAATAATTTTGAAAATCGCTAAATCTCACCAGCCGACTGACTTCATAGCGAAGTCAAATCGCTATCAAAATCGGTAAAAGGGAGACAACTTGTGATTGACAAGTCTCACAGGTAAAAAAATGGCGGTTGCCAAGGAAAATCGAGATTTTCGAAACGACCCAGGACTAATACTGTCAACGATCAAATTAAATAAATACAACGGCGACTTTGAACATCCTCGGATATAACTTTCAAAACTGTTCAAACAAAAAACTGACCGTATGTTTAAGTTATCATTTTACGATGATTTTCATCTGAGGATGTTGCGTAATCACTCAGCTGATTTGTTTTATTTTTATTACTTACATGAGTCGATCAATTTTACTATTCGGTAGGTTAAAGGTGGGAATTAACGGTAGATTTATTATATTCATTGAATAAAAATTGAAATATAAAAGGTAGAAAGACAGCTGATGGATAATGTGATTGCAAACGTACGACACTCGACCAGATTGTGATCAGCAGTGGATTTTTTCTCATGACCACTTCGTTGATATGGATGATATTTCCAAAAAATTATAGAAATTAGCTCTTTATCGGATAATTAATATGCGATTGAAAGATATTTTTATTCATAGACTTACAATCTTTAACGATAATCTCAATTTACAACTAACACAATGTCCTGGACATTCAATAATGATTTACAAAATAATGACAAGTGGTGATATAAATTAAATTCCCAGTCATGTGAAATTCATCAGGTAAACGGGGAATCATATTTTTCTGGAGTTTTAAAAATAAATTGAGGCAGATGCACATGAATTTAATGCATCAAAATCATGATAATATTACTAGGCTACTCCCTCATGTCCCAATCAACAAATTTTATTTAGAACAGTTCAACACAATGGTATCAATAAATAAATAACAACTATAAATTGTCTAAACCTTTTTATTAAGAACTTTCTATATATACATGGTGTACAATAACATATGAAATAAAATGCTTCGCTGGGCGCAGCTTGATATGACCGCAGAGGTCGAACCCTGAACAGTTGGGGCAAGTATGGACATAACATTCAAGCTTGATACAGCTCTGAATATTTGACACAGCATTGGTTTCTGACACAGAAAGAATGTGGTCTAAGAACTTGAATTTTTTTAATTTACCTATTATAGTCCAATGTCCAAAATCAAAATACATGGTTAGATTCAGCATATCAAAGAACCCCATATATTAAATTTTTGTTGAAATCAAACAAAGTTTAATTTTGGACCCCAACTTGGACAAACTTGAAAACTGGGCCAAAAATCAAAAATCTAAATACATGTTTAGATTCAGCATATCAAAGAACCTCATATATTCAATTTTTGCTAAAATCAAACAAAGTTTAATTTTGGACCCTTTGGACCTTCATATGGATTTTTTTGTAAAAAAAAAAGATGCAACATTTGCAGATATTTTTACTGGTCTTCCTTTATAAATATGCATTTCTTTAAACATAATTTAAAAGCAGTGTAAGGGAAGTAACCAAAACATTGTATTTGGATTACCTCCCTTACACTGTTTTAAATTATCTTTATTGTTCATTAACCATTACTTCATACATAATTTAAAAGCAGTGTAAGGGAGATAATTTCAATGATATATTTGATTTATCTCCCTTACACTGCTTTAAATTATGTTTTGTACTAAAGTATTTGTCCATTAACCAGGACAACCTTGTTTTTCCCCCCTAATTCCTAAACGGTTTGAGCCATAACCCCCCAAAGCAAATCCTAACCATCCCTTTGTGGTATGGAAACTTGTAGTATAATTTCAGAGAGATCCATACACCGTTCCACAGTTATTGTCTGGAAACTAGAAAATGCTTATTTTTGGCCCCTTTTTGGCCCCTAATTCTTTAACTGTTGGTACCATAACCCCCAAAATCAATCCCAACCTTCCTTTTGTGGTATTGAACCTTATGGTAAAATTTCAAAAAGATCCATTCACTTAAACTAAAGTTAGAGTGCGAAAACCAATGTGTCTTCGGACGACGACGACGCCAACGTCATACCAATATACGACCACAAAATTTTTTTGCGGTCGTATAAAAATCTAAATACACGGTTAGATTCGGCATAACAAATAAATAAATGTGGTCAAAGATTTTACAAATCTAATGCACCATACTGTGCAATTAAAGATTACTTCTTGAAATTTTTCAATATTTGAAATTTGAAAAAAAAATAATATTTGAAGAATAATTACTTTTAATTTCTGAAATCTGAAATGAGAAAAAATTGACCCCCCACAATTTCTTTATACCCCCCCCCCTTTTTTTCACCAAAAAAAATTCTTTCCCTCAAGATATGGTCATAATCTCAATTCAAATTTCCAATGGAGTTTGCAACCATAATTACCCATTTAAAATTACCATAGTGCTAACTTAATCTATTTTATAGTAGAATTTAAAATATAGTGTCAAATCTTTCATATGGATATTTTTGTAAAAAAAAAGGATGCAACATTTGCAGATATTTTTACTGGTCTTCCTTTATAAATATGCATTTCTTTAAACATAATTTAAAAGCAGTGTAAGGGAAGTAACTAAAACATTGTATTTGGATTACCTCCCTTACACTGTTTTAAATTTCCTTAATTGTTCATTAACCATTACTTTATACATAATTTAAAAGCAGTGTAAGGGAGATAATTTCAATGATGTATTTGATTTATCTCCCTTACACTGCTTTAAATTATGTTTTGTACTTAAGTATTTGTCCATTAACCAGGACAACCTTGTTTTTCCCCCTTTTTTGCCCCTAATCAGGGGTTAAAAAATGCACTAGCCCGATGCCCGGGACTTGAGCATTTACGCCTCGGGCAATCAAAATTTTTAACCCAATATGCCCGACGGACTAGTAACAAACAATTCTTGGCGTTTCCAAAATAGAAAGTGGAAAATCCCTTCATCACTATTCTATCTTAGCCAATCAGATTCAATTACGTCATCCGGGATTCCAAGAATTTGAAAGTTTGTACAGGTCCTGTTGTCCTGTTATTGTTTATAATAATATTGTTTGTATGCTATATGCCCTCCTGGGGCCCTAATTTGGTAAATAAAATATTCTATTCTATTCTATTTTTTTCTGTACATATTTTAAAAATAGAACAAATAACTCTAAGTGGCCTGGTATCATGTATTGATCGCAATTCTCGTACTTTAAATATCGATTTCTCAGTACAACAGTACAGGGTATTGTAGATTTCTTATGCCGAGATGTTCAATTGTAGGTACTGGGTGATGTATTGATCCGTATTAATCTGTCTTGTCGGACAGCTGTTGAGCATGAAACCAATCCATGCAACCAAATATTTCTAAATATTTTAGTACGGGCACCCCAGGAACTTCGTCAGTTTTAAAACGAAAAACTGTAGATGAAAGGGGTAATGAGCAAGGGTCCGGAAATGGTCATATTTGCCAGTCATGTCCTAAGATGAAACTATTTGTCCGAAACGAGTAATTGGGATTTAGGACAAATTTTATTTTTTTACAGAAGTAATTTCGGTCATTTCATTGACTCAATGTTTGAAATCGGATTTCTTAATCGCCATTTTGCACTTGTGATCACTTGTTTTTGTTTATAATCCCTTTCCTGTAATAAAACTGCCACTACAGTAGTTTGATAATCCTGAGGGCCCTCCTAATATCTATATCAATGCCTCCGGGAAACATTGGCTAATGATCGCTAATCACTTTTTACCTGTGGTTTTAATTCACACCTGACAGTGATCACAAGCTCAGAATAATATCTTTAAAACATTAGTTCCCTGACAAGTGTAATCATTATTTATTTACTTTTCATCAAAGACAGTCATCAATTCTGATTTAAAAATTAAATCTAAATTTACGTAGAAAAAAGTATTTTTTCATGAGTAACACATGTGCTTTATTTACTATGTAATACGCATGCGTGAAATTGTCTTCAACAAATTTAATATTTAAATCGTAAAATGCAAATTGATTTCATGCTAAATTAAACGAGTGCAACTATTATTTGTTATATTCAAACACTTTTAAAGGTAATAAAATAAAAAAGCCATAAAAAGCCGGTGATTTCCTGTCAATTTGATAAACAAAACAAATCCGGAAATGAATCCGGAATTATTCGTACTTTAAAATATCGCAAACTTCCGGTTTTAACTTTTGTCAAATCGAAAGAAACGTAAGCAATGTCTGAGAAATTAACCATTTTGAGTCATTAAAATCATTTCAATTTTAGACTGTTGCCTTCCCTAAACTGTCCTTCATGCGATGAAACAGCAATACAAGTTCGTCATGTTCGTTGATGCTATGAATATAGTCAAGTTGATATCGACAATTTGAAAAGGGGCACAAACTTTTCAAACATCTCAAAATGACCGAAATTGTCTGGAAAAATTTCCGGATCCTTGGTAATGAGACTGACAATTCATCCCCAAAAAATGCCAAATACGACCGGGAAAAGCGGAATAGTGTCCCGGAAAGAAAGATTCCCACTGGGCAAGGTAGGCCGTGTTGCTGATGAAAAAAAAAAAAACAGAGAATATTTCCGTTATTTTCCCGAGCACGCCAATAAAAAGTCTGCTCTGTATGTGGGACCAACAGAATAAAAAGCAGGTCAACTAAAATTATTAAATACAGTGTACAATGCTGCCTTAAAAACAAGGGACATCCACTTTGTAATTATGCAGCAAACTGATTTGTAAAGCATTCTCGGGCTAGCAGTTCTTCCAACAGGGCTAGTAAAATCCTGCTGCAAATAAGTCCTGGGCTAGTTACCTGTAACAAAATTTTTTAACCCCTGCTAATTCCTAAACGGTTTGAGCCATAACCCCCCAAAGCAAATCCTAACCATCCCTTTGTGGTATGGAAACTTGTAGTATAATTTCAGAGAGATCCATACACCGTTCCACAGTTATTGTCTGGAAACTAGAAAATGCTTATTTTTGGCCCCTTTTTGGCCCCTAATTCCTTAACTGTTGGTACCATAACCCCCAAAATCAATCCCCACCTTCCTTTTGTGGTATTGAACCTTATGGTAAAATTTCAAAGAGATCCATTCACTTAAACTAAAGTTAGAGTGCGAAAACCAATGTGTCTTCGGACGATGACGACAACGCCGGACGACGCCAACGTCATACCAATATACGACCGCAAAAATTTTTTGCGGTCGTATAAAAACTGCAAGTATATCTTTTATTGAAGTTAAAACAATTTCCTTAGTGATAATCATGAAAACACGATGCAACCGAAACGGTAATGGAATCTCACTTCTCCAAGAAATTGACCACTTCTCCCTTCTCTCTCATGGAAGGAGAAGTCACTTCTCCCTCTTCAAAATCCTAATTAGACCCTGCAGTTTTGTAATTTAAAAATGAAAAGTCCTCTCCTATAAAAGACAGGTTACGGACCTCGGACCCACACTAATTTGAACCCCTGCTGCCCAAACCCCTAATTTGCACAAAAACTCATAAGACCAATAACTTTAAGTCCTTAAGTCAGAAGCATGTAGACAGATCATGAGAAGGTATTTCAATGCTAGGAAAATTTATAATTGAGTTATCTTTCTTGATTCGGTTGAGCTCCTACTCTTCAGAGGATTATACACAGCAGTAGCACTTTTAATTAACGGCTGCCCGTTTTGTTATTCTATTTCAGAAGTTAGGGTAGGCAAAGACAAAATACGTCTGAATTAAACATTTTTAACGGAATTCAAGAAAAACGATGTTTGAATAAGTTCATTACGGTTTTTGTCTTTCTGTCAATTACGTTTTTATCATGATACTACGGTAAACATGTGGTATGAAAAATTTCATACAAAATTACACAATGCTGGCTGACCGATTCTATTTGTATGAATTAATTTTAATGATCATGATCAGTAAAAAAAATTAAAGTGACGAAATTGCTCAGAAATACTTATGTCATTTCGAAAATCGTTTCGTAAATGGTGAAAATGACAAGCGCTAGCAAAATCACTTGTACAACCCTTTGAATACATTTGAATGTTAAATCCTAAGAGGTACAAAGTAGCCGTTGTATTTTACCTCTATGATTTATTTTTAGCCTTGACAACCACATTTTTCAAAACAGACATCCCAAGGATGATTGTGGTCAAGTTTGGGTCCAGTTAATCTTGGCTTAGTAGTTTCAGACAATATTAACGTAAAATTTAAGAGGAAGGATGCCAAGTAATGAGAAAAGCTCATATGGCCCTTTGGGCCTTGTGAGCCAATGTAAAATAACTGATCATTATGTTTTAGTAATTGAAAAGTTTTTTCTCAATGCATCATCCTGATCATGGAATTAGAAAATTAATTTTTGTTCTGACATTTCTATATAAACAAATATTGACAGAATAATTACCTTTTTGGTAGTACTTCGAGTTGTGGGTCCAACGAAATCCTGTACATAGTCCGAAATCTGTGAGTTTAATATGTCCATCACGATCTATAAGAATATTATCTGGTTTGATGTCACGATGAATAAATCCCATTTTATGCACACTTTCAATAGCTAGCACTAATTCTCCAATGTAATGAATTGCTAATGGTTCTTCAAAGATTCCTTTTTTAATAAGCAACCCCATAAGGTCTCCACCAGGTACGTAATCCATCACAAAATATAAATTATCTCGATCTTGAAATGAATAATATAATTTTACAACCCATTCATTGTCAGCCTCTGCCAGTATATCTCTTTCTGCTTTAACATGAGCAACTTGATTTCTTTTTAGAACATCACTTTTTCTTAAAGTTTTCATTGCATAAAGATGACCAACATCTTTTTTGCGCACCAATGTTACCTCACCGAAAGCACCAACACCCAAAGTTTGAATTTTATGAAATAAAGATTTTTCCATTTTTGCCCTTTTTAATCTTATATAATTTGATTCCTTTTGATGTAACATTCTTCTCATTTGGCACTGAGCATCTTCTGACAATCCTACTTTTGCCATTTCTCGTTCTAATTGCAATCGCCGTTTTTCCCTGTCCCGGTGAGATTTTAATAAATTTTCAACATGCTGTTCCATGAAAAATTTGAAAGCTTGTGGAGAATAATTTCTTACAAGTGTGTCTTTCCTTAATTTATCCTTTTCTCTTGATTCTGGCTTTCTTTCAGGCATTGGTGAGGTACACCTAGTTTTTTCATGTACACTACTTTCAGACACAGTTGATAAGGTTTCTGTATCCGTATCATCATCCTGTTTCTGTTGCAATATAATCTGAGAATGTTTCGATACAGGAGGCGGTGGAATAGGTGGTGGTTTTGAAGGATCAGCCTCAGTGAGAGGCCTGGGAGCTCTTGGAGGCAGTGGTGGTTGATCATTTTGTTGCTGAGCAGATGATGTTAAATTTCTTGAAATGTTTTGCATACCTACAGTTGTCTGATGCTGAGGAATAGGGGTCACAATCTGAACAGGTCCATGAGCTAAATGTCGACCAGGATATGGAGGTGGTGGTTTATCTGGAACATCAGAATTGGTTGAAGGTGAGGATGCTGTTGACAGCATTGACATTGGAGATTGATTTGTTGTTCGAGATACTGGAGATCCAGATCTCGGTGTAGAGTTATCAGATCTGAAATGATCATACATACCATAAGCAGGCGGTGCAACTTGTGCTTTAGGACGATTTTGAAAGTTGATCTGAATTTGTGGTCGTCCATTTCCATGAAAGAATGTACCATCGGGTGTTACACTGTATCCGTCTTGTTGATTTGAATGTCGCATAATTTTTATATGAACATCCCTCATTGCTGGATTTGAGTTTGTTACCGCTAAACTTTGACTATGTGAAGGATTTATTTGAGCTTGGAATGAAGATACAAAATTGGGTTGTGAAGTGACAGTCAAATTTGGAACAGGAGCTGTTGCTGTTTGTAACTTTGGTTTCTGAACAACCTGACTTTTTACAGGTGTCATTATTATGGATGACGTTTTTGCTGACCAAGCATCCATTGGGGATGACCCACTACTTCCTCTCATTTGTAAATTTTGAACATTTAATGGTACATTACTTGTGTCTGAAGTAGAAATATATTCCACAGGGTAACCAGGGTAATAATTTATTTGTTCATTTTGATTTGGATGAATTTGTATCACTGTACTATTAGAATGAGTTTGCGGATAAGGTGGTGGTGGTTGCTGTTTATATCGAATTGTAATATTACCACCTGCATTGGTGGGAACACGCACAGGTTGACTTGAGACCTGATGAATCACTGGCCTCTGAACATTTACTGGACTCATACCCCTGTTAGGTGTTACAGGCAAACTTCCTTGTGGTGAAGGTTGAGGAGACTGTGCTGCTTGCTTCACAGGAACACTAGAAGCAATATATTGTCTATGTGAGGTTGATAATGGCTTAACAACAGATGACGAAATCTTTTTTCCTTGTATTGAGGAATTGTCAAAAGAATTCTGTACATTTACAGGAGGTGATTGACTCCTTTGAGCTATTGGAGCTCTTGGAGGTACAGGTGGAGGAGTTTGATCTCCATTCACAAGTGAAGACGATATCATTACATCAGATTCCGAAGATCTATTATTTGGAACAGAGTTTATACTGGGACTTTCTGACCTTTCAGTAATTTTCCTAGGAATTGGTTTAAAATCTGAAATATGTACAAGTGAATCAATATATCATTCAAATCCAATTGTGTGTCCAAGGATTTCTAAATATGCATTTTGTAAAAAAAATTTAAACAATTTTACCAAAAATAGAAATAAAGGTTCCAAGGAACCTGCTTTCCTAATTACCTGGCATCTATGTAAAATATGTTAATTATTGTTTCAATCTGTGTACAAGTAATTACCCGTCATTAACATGCTAAAGTACCACTTTTATTCACCTTTTTTGCAATGGTCCATACAAAACAATTAGTTATAAATGAAATGGAATTTTTCTTACACTGTCCCCTGAAACAATGGTACCTATCTTGTCAACAAGAGTGCACATGCTGAAATGTCTCACCTGCTTTACTGACCATTGATTTTATGTTGATAATCCTAAATGTAAAGCTTTACTACATATCACATAAACTTAACATGATCCAAGAATATGAGGTCAAGGTCAGAAACACCAAACCGGAAATCCATGTACACCTTACAATCATTCCATACACCAAATATAGTTGACCTATTGTTTATAGTTTCAAAGAAACAAACTTAACCAGGAAATTTAACATTGACCAATGAACCATGAAAATGAGGTCAAGGTCAGATGAACCATGCCAGACAGACATGTACACCTTACAAGCAATCTATGCATTAAATATAGTTGACCTATTGCATATAGTTTCTAAGAAACAAACTTGACCAGGAAAACTTAACATTGACCAACGAACCATGAAAATGAGTTTAAGGTCAGATGAACCATGCCAGACACACATATACACCTTACAATCATTCCATTCACCAAATATAGTTGACCTGTTGCTTATAGTTTAAGAAAAACAGACCAAACACAAAAACTTAAAACTGAGCAATGAATCGTGAAAACAAGGTCACGGTCAAATAAAACCAGCCAGACTGACATGTACATTGTAAAATATTTCCATACACCAAATATAGTTGACCTATTGCATATAGCAGTCAAGGGTATAACTTAAATAAGTTATTAGAAAAAAATAACATACATGTTGTTATTGTGGGCTAAAATATAAAATAAATTGCTTTGCCGATTGCAGCAGGATACGATCGCAGAGGTCCAACCCTGAACAGAAAATAGACACAATATTCGCGCTTGATACAGGTCTGAATTTGGATTGTAATTCAATATTTGACACAGAATAGCTGTAGTCAAAGAACTTAGAATTGGATATATGATTTGAATTTATATTAAATTTTTTGCTTTTGTGCAATACACTATGATGTTGCAAATTCACCTCCCCCCCCCCCCCCCCCCCCCCCCATTTGAAGGATTTTCTTTTTGATTTCTGAAATCTTCAGGAGAAAAAATTGTCCCCCCCCCCCCCCCCCCCCTTTTTTCCAAAAAAAAAAATCTTTCCCTCAGTCATGGTCATAATTTCAATTCAAATTTCCAATGGAGTTTGCAACCATAATAACCCATTTAAATGCATCATAAAAGTCTTAAAATAGAAAATGACATACATAATCATAGCTAAAATTAATTTACCTTAATCAGCATTTGAAAAATTATTAAAATAGTAACTTCTAACTAGAGGCTCTCAAGAGCCTGTGTCGCTCACCTGATTCTACTTTGGTTTTGGAAATCATGTTAAAATAGATTAAAATCATAACAGATACCCTAATAATGAGTGAGGCCAAATTTGGTTTAATATTGGCCCTGTAAGTTAATAAAAAATCCTGGTGGCCATCTTGAACAGTAAATCAGCAACAAAGTAGCAACACTTCATCAGCACCTCATAAGAAACATTTAAGACATGTTTGGTTTCATTCCATTCAGTGCACCTCTAGAAGAAGCATTTGTATGTATTTCCAATATGGTCTTATGTTAAAGGAAGTCCCCCCGCTAGCAGCCATCATGGATGAAGGATCAGCTTCAAAGTAACAACACTTAGTCAGCACCTTATAAGGAACATTCATGCCATGATTGGTTTCAATCCATTCAGTGGTTCTGTAAAAGAAGACATTTGTATGTATTGTCCGTAGGGTCCTTTGTTAAAAACTGTCCCCAGCTGGTGGCCATCTTGGATGATGGATCGGCTTCAAAGTAACAACACTTGGTCAGCCCTTCATAAGGAACATTCATGCCATGTTTGGTTTCATTCCATTCAGTGGTTCTCTAAAAGAAAACATTTGTAAATATTTTGCATAGGGTCCTATGTTAAACTAAGTCCCCCACAGGCGGCCATCTTGGATGATGAATCGGCTTCAAAGTAACAACACTTGGTCAGCACCTCATAAGGAACATTCATGCCATGTTTGGTTTCATTCCATACAGTGGTTCTCTAAAAGAAAACATTTGTAAATATTTTGCATAGGGTCCTATGTTAAACTAAGTCCCCCAGCAGGCAGCCATTTTGGATGATGGATCGGCTTCAAAGTAACAACACTTGGTCAGCACCTCATAAGGAACATTCATACCATGTTTGGTTTCATTCCATTCAGTGGTTCTCTAAAAGAAGACATTTGTATGTATTTCCCATAGGGTCCTATGTTAAAATAAGTCCCCCGATGGCGGCCTTCTTAGATGATGGATCGGCTTCAAAGTAACAACGCTTGGTCAGCACCTCATAAGAAACATTCATGTCATGTTTGGTTTCATTTCATTCAGTGGTTCTCTAAAAGAAGACATTTGTATGTATTTCCCATAGGGTCCCATGTTAAACTAAGTCCCCCGCTGGCGGCCATCTTGGATTATGGATCGGCTTCAAAGTAACAACATTTGGTCAGCACCTCATAAGGAACATTCATGCCATGTTTAGTTTCATTCCATTCAGTGGTTCTCTAAAAGAAGACATTTGTATGTATTTCCCATAGGGTCCTATGTTAAACTAAGTCCCCCGCTGGCGGCCATCTTGGATGATGGATCCGCTACAAAGTAACAACACTTGGTCAGCACCTCATAAGGAACATTCATGCCATGTTTGGTTTCATTCCATTCAGTGGTTCTCTAGAAGAAGTTCAAAATGTAAAAAGTTAACGCCGACGACGGACGACGCCGGACGCCAAGTGATGAGAAAAGCTCACTTGGCCCTTCGGGCCAGGTGAGCTAAAAATGAATTTACAGCTAATCATCTCAAGACAATACAAAAATTCTTTATACATAATTTAAAAGCAGTGTAAGGGAGGTAATTCAAAGTTGTGTTTGAATTACCTCCCTTACACTGTAATTTGTAATTGTCCATTAACCAGGACACCCTTGTTTTTTCTCACTTTTTTGCCACTAATTCCTAAACGGTTTGAGCCATAACCCCCCAAAGCCAATCCTAACCATCCCTTTGTGGTATGGAAACTTGTGGTATAATTTCAGAGAGATCCATACACTGTTCCACAAGTTATTGTCATGAAACTAGAAAAATGCTTATTTGGGTCCTGTTGGGACCATAACCCCCAAAATCAATCCCAACCTTCCTTTTGTGGTTATAAACCTTATGTTTAAATTTCATAGATTTCTATTTAACAATACTAAAGTTATTGTCTGGAAACCAAATGTCTGCGGACGACGACGACGTGATACCAATATACGACCTCAAAATTTTTTGCGGTCGTATAAAAACTGTGATAACATATGTATGATACATGTTTCAAAGTGGCAATATACATCATTTGTTTTGTTAAAATGTTTACAAGTTCTATTGATATTATTATTGTCTTTATGTATACTAAACTTTAGAAAGATATAACAGTTCATAGTTTACCAATCATGCATAGTACACCTATGTTATTACAGAAAAAATATGCATGTAATAACTAAAGGGTGTTATAACAGCTTCTCCACATAACTTCAAAGCCTTTGCTCAGACATACAGCATGCTTAATCACAATGCATTTTAATTTATTGTAAGAAATAATGATCAGAGCATGTAATGAGGTTCTGAGCAAGCTTCCAAGTAATTACCAAACTGTCTCATTATTATACTCTCATATAATACATGTAATAAGTTACATGCCTGTAATAACTAAGCCTTGTTATTACAGCTAAGTTTAATCCCTTGAAAGCCTTGTCTCATTGATTTACCATGGTTGATTAAAAATGTATTAATTTAATTTGAAAAATTTGTTATCAAGGCTACATATTAAGTCACTGCGCAAAGTTTCAAGAATTCCCTAGTGCCCACCAAAAATAAAAATATTTATGATTATTTAACAAATAACAAACATATGTTACTACAGATGAAGAAAATTTTAGAAACAAAGAGTAGACAACTCATGATTTTATCTGTAATAACAACATGTATGTTATTTTCTGTAATAATTTTTTTAAGTTACACCCTTGACTGTATAGAATAAATGGGGAATGTGTCCATGGGACACAGATGATGCCCCCGCTTGCTTATAATGTTATAAAGGGACATAACTCAAGAACTGTAAAAGTGATGCTACCCAAATTTGTACTTCATCTGAGTTTTGTGGTAATAAGCATTGTTTATAAGTTTCATAACATTTAGTTGAGGCAAACTTAAGTAAGAGAACGGAAACGAAAAAATTCAGCAATTTTTCCATTTGCAAAGGGGCATTACTCTAGAAAGGTAAAAGTGACACCACCAAAATTCAAACTTGATCTGTGTTTTGTGGTAATAAGCATTCTGTATAAGTTTCATAACATTTGGTTGAGGCAAACTTCAGTTAGAGAACGGAAACGAAAAATTCAGCAATTTTTCCATTTGTAAAGGGGCATAACTCTAGAACTGTAAAAGTGACGCCACCAAAATTCATACTTGATCTGTGTTTTGTGGTAATAAGCATTGTGTATAAGTTTCATAACATTTGGTTGAGGCAAACTAAAGTTAGAGAACGGAAACCAATTTTGGGACATACGTACATACGTACAGACAGACAAGGGTTAAACTTAATGCCCCCTCCGCTACGGCGGGGGCATAATTAGAAAAAAAGACCAAAACACAAAAACTTAACTTTAACCACTGAACCATGAAAATGAGGTCAAGCCCAAATGACACTTGCCAGT